ATCATAAGAAAAGGTATAAGTGCATAAAGGTATAGGTATATAAAAATATGCATAATGTATAGAAAGTGAACCAAGGGAAATCTCCCCTTCATATTCTACTAGAATCTGGAGTCAACCCATTAAGCTGTTTGATGGGAGGTTCAAGACACATAAAAGGAAGTACTTCTTCATATAAAACATAGTTAAACTATGGAATTTAGTGCCATCCTCTGAGGGAAGTTCAGTAAATAGGAGCAAGGGCGAAGAACTGTTCAGGGGTCTTTTACCAGTGGGATACTGTTGTTTCCAGCAAGGCCCATCTGGACCAAGATTGGCATCTATTTAGTGTCAGGTTAATACTTTTCTTTACACCCAAGCATCTGATGGCATATAATAGTCTATTCAATATATCAGTTGATACATTGCTGGTTGTCAGTGATGTTCTAGTTGTTTAATGGAGTGTGTGTTGCACTCCCCCTAAAGGATGAAGTTTGTAGTGCTAGATCCAGTACTTTCACTCAAAGCAGAGTGGAGTTGATGGCATGAAACACTTTTTTATCAGCTGAAACTGATATAGAAGCTACAGTTATGCTCTGGCAGTCTCTCATTAGGGTTACCGCAATGGTATGAAAACCCAAGGCTGCCTTTGAAAACAGACTGAAAGCTTCAGCTGGTCCAAAATGGAACAGTGAGATTGTTAACAAGGACTGGTCAATGAAATCATATTATGCCAGTACTTTTCCATCTGAAGGGACTACCAATTTACTTGCCTTGGTTCAAACTGCTGATATTGACACTCAGAGCCCTAAATGGCTTGGGGTCAAGCTACCTGAGGGATTATCTTGCCCCATATGTTATAGTGGTCTTAAATTTTGTAACAGTTAACTGTCTGTGTAAGATTCAACTTTCTTTGTTGCTTTGAATCTTTTATGTGTGAGAGAAAAGTGTTTAAAATAGTAATAATAGATTTACAACCTGTGGAACTTGTGCACAGGTGCCATTATGTTGGACATAAGACCATGATCTTCTTCCAGTCTTTCAGGGTTATTACTTTAATTTAGGAAAACATAATGTACCTGAGTTAGAATGTCATTCTTAATTTAAAAGAGCCACTGAATAAGGTGCTGCTCTTTCAAACTGTTTTCAGTTTACAAAGCAGTAGATACAGCTAGCACTTTAAAAAAAAGGAGTGAAATTATATAGTACAAAACTTGAATATTTTTCTAAAAATCACTTAAAGCTTATCCACAAATGAGGTTTATAAAGCTAACATTTTTTCAACTCCAGTGTTCATATTAATATGTGGATTTGAATCCTGGAAAATCTCTAGAGATATAGGATAAACTATATTTGATATTAAAAATAAAATGTGAAATACCATTTTAAAATTTTGAAATTGAAGGAAATAATTTTAAAAGATGAGCTGTGGCAGAATGTTCAGAAATCCAATTTATTTGCACTTCTGATTAAATTAATGGAACTTATATCAAGACTGAAATGCAAGTGTGGGTAAAGACTTCCAGGAACTTTTCAAAGTTCACATACAATATTAGGGCAAGTCTAGGAGATTCTTCTGCCCTAGTTCAGTGTTTCAGTACTCAACTATAGAAGAGCAGAACTTCCTTGAAAAGATAGTATGATATTGTATGCAAGAATTTTGCATTGACTTATTCCTTGAGCATCTGAACAATGACTCAGTACAATGGATTGAATTATTATATATGTTCATCCAGAACAAAAAGCTCAATGTAGATACTTTAAAAGATCTACAGGGATAATTTGTATTTCATTAAGATTGAGGGCAGACAATATTATTCTAAAAGCCATACTGAAAATAGTTTGCCTGTCCAGTTCATTTGATCCATATTTCTTCAAATACTTCAATAAAATCAGCTGCAGTCTATTTCCTAATTTTATGCTGATAATCCACACTTCTATGACTGGTAACTTTGCATGTAACCACAGTGATAACTATGCAATTGGTTGCCATCTCAAATGAGTCTAGTATCTTTGTTTTAATTTTGGCAACATGGCACAGTTTTATAGGACTCCATTGCTAGAAGCATACAAAAAAGACTCAATCTCAAGTCTGAAATAGCTTTGCAGCAATTTTCTAACCAGAAACTGATGCAGTACTGAATATTGTTCAAAGCTACACTCCCTATTATATCCGGACATTAAATACCAGAGTTGTCCTAGAATGAACCACACTGGGTATTTTGAGATGGCATGTGATAGCCCATTTTGCCTATGCAGTTACTGCTGATTCGAGGGCAACAGAATATTATGCAGAAACAGTATAAACTCTGAGTTTTTCCACAGGAGCTATTTCAGTGGAATAAAATATTTCCTTTGTGTTCTTCTCAAGATGCTATGAAAGATTGCAGCAGCATAATTTATGATGACATGGAATTTCTGTATAGAAGAAGTTATTTGCAAGTCACTGGAACCATATTTTTTTCCTAGATTGACATTTAGAATAAAAACCATCTGTTCTGAGATTGACCCATTGTGTAATCCTTCTTCATCTTAATGACTTCAGACACACATGTCTGGGATATTTTAAACTAGATCAAGAAAAGCTTTGAAACCACCAGCAAAATCTTGTAGTAGGACTTAAGTCTTCATTAAGGATTGCTTTTCAGTTTAATTTCAAGTTGTGTGGTCAGCTACATAGTGAATTTGCAATGATATTTCATAATAGATATGAACAAGTGTTGATGTTGACAAGTGCATTTCTGTTTCTTTGTGCCAAGTACCAATGTGTGTGGTAAGAACAAAATTTCTCAAAGGATGGGGAGCATTTTAGTTACATTTCAGTTTCATTATCACATTCCATAAGCAGCTTTCATTTTTATTGGCTTATACACCATATTGACGTTTTCTCTTGTAGGAAGGCATATGTACTAGAACATGGAATGAGCAACCTTCATGGCTTCAAAATCAAGCCCATCCTTTTCCCTCCTATTCTATCCCCCAAACCAAGCTTGAAACCCCCACCCCCTTCCCATTTTTTGGCATATTGTGTTGGTGCTATATAGTATTGCCTGGCAATAGAGTTCGGATTTTCTCTTTTGGACTGAGGCAGTTTACTTACCAACTTATAGCTTAGGCATTAAAAGCAAAACCTTTCTGGATTTTCTGACACATTTGTCATGCCTAGAAATAAGAGTTCTGTAGGCCTGCATACTTCTTTCAGAGAAATCCTGCCGTACTTGCCAACCAATGTCTAGTACTCTGTAACCTGCCATGCTTGCATGCACTGTCTGCACATTCCACCCACCTGCTATGTTATTCTGTCCAAATTTGTACTTTGAAAATAGGTCAGTTTTCCCACTTTAGCTTCCTCTCTGGAAAACAATCCCATAACTGGACTTAGTGCAAATCCTTGCCCACTGCCTTGGTTTAAAAAAGGTAATGCTGCCTTGCATCTGTTTGCTTAATCATACATTCTAATGCACCAATGTTTTAGTGATTCTAATATGCTAAAAATGAGCATACAGCTAAATACACCTGTCCTGAACAGTAGGAAGCCAAGATGATCTGCAATGAAGACATGGGGTGAAATCCAGTGTCACCTACTGAAGGAACTGCTTCCATCAGCAGAACTGGGAGCATGTGATCTTCCCTCCCCCTTTGTGTTCTCAAAGGGTTAGAGGGGGCCCTCTGGGGCAGATTTTAGGGGTCACTGGACACTGAAAGTGGGTGTGTGCGGAAGAAAGTCTCAGGCTACTGATTGTTCTATTTAATTAAAAAAGAAAAAGCTTTGTCACTGCAGTGGTTTAATATTTTGGATTTGGGGACTTTTTTGCATAGGCAGAGGAATTTTAAAACATACTGTAACTACTTGTGTTTAATATAATCAAATCTCATATTGAATACTGACATATTGTTGCACATTGTGAAAAAATTATGGAGTGATTCATATAATATGTATTTATTTGTTCAAAGCTCATTTATCTTGTTCTTCAGCTGAAAAAGCACACAGTTTAATAAAAACAAGAGTTCATGGCAACAAATGAACATTAAAAAAGACATAATACAAAAGAAAAAAGAATGAGAAGGAAAGGGGGAGAAACAAAGAAAGTCAGGCAATAATGTATTTTATGCAGTAGTAATGTAGTAGTAAGGAATAGGCAAATGCAAAGTGTTTATAGCATTTTAGTTTAGGAAAAAAAATCACTAATGGCTATTCTCAGGGTTCACCAGAACACTTGGAGAAGGCAGCCTTGAGAAAAGCCCTCCTGCCTCTTTTATTTCAATATCTGGAGGCCTCTGATCCTTGACTCTGTGACGTTGGAAGAAAAAGGGTAGCCAGCTAAAGGGTGGCTTACAGCTAAGAAGCTGGCCTGCCTCCAGAAGGGACATCTTAGAGAAGTGAGGCCCAGGCTTACTCAAAAGAGGTTCTTGAAAGTAGTTTCTAGATTGGGTTAAACTGGAATTCACTCTGTGTGTGCTCAGGGAATTTTTCTCTGCTAATTATGCTTTACTGAATGTACAGTGGAGAATTAAGAACTTTTACAAAAGAACAGTCTGTTACTATGAAAATGCAAAGCAGGGAACCTAGCTCCTAACAGCTATTGCAGGAAATAAGTTTCTGGGCTTTGATCTAAGCCAGAATAATGTTTTCACTTTCTTAAAGAGTTAGATCCTGTAAATGTCTCCTTCCAGCAGAAGCTCCCAGAAGTGGTGAACCAATTTTCATTTACTGGCCATGTAGCATATTTCACTCCATTAAAATCTGGAGGGTTGGGATAGCCTCTAGAATAGTGTGAGAAATGGTGCTGGATACTGTAGAAGGAAGGAGGAGGCAGCAAAAATCACATCCTCTCTGTTTCTCAAGCAGAGTATTCTGTGAATGGAATTATAGGACATATGGATCACAGATTTCAACACATCTTATGGCCTATATTTTTAAAACTTATACCCAATTTCTATATGACCAGCAGATAACTTTCTTTTGTTCTCTGTAATTTTTCTTCTTGCATATTATTGAGTTCTATAATTTTTCCCCTTCAAAGACTCCAATGAATCAAGCCTCAACACGTTCACACTGCATTTTCACAATTCACATCTCAAGCAAAGAACCAGGATCTGCAACTATTCGACGTTCCAAACTCCATTTAGTGGATCTGGCCGGTTCAGAGCGTGTGGGGAAAACAGGAGTTGGAGGACAACTGCTGACAGAGGCAAAATATATCAATCTTTCTTTACATTACTTGGAACAGGTAAAAAGTCCAATTATTAATTTTACTACTACTTTAGATAAATATTTTGCTTTTAAAAGTAAATGTTTAATTGCACTTGACCTCCGAGCTATTCAATTTTGTTTCAGAGAAGAATATAATGCAACACAGTATAGTTTATCTGATGTTACAATATGGTGAATGTAATGTTCTGCATGCCATTTTTTATATTGTAATATAATAGATTTTAATAGAATTTTCTATTAAAAGACAATTTTAATAGCAGTTATTAAAATTCAACAATACTAATTATTCTATAATGAGATGAAGTCAGATGGCCTAACAAATCTTTAATAATTTCATCTTAATTACTTCTTTTTAAAGTTATTAATACAGTGGTCTCATGTCAACCCTTTGTAAAAATGTGGGTAGGAGTTTATAAACATAGAAACAGGGTGAGTCAGAAGGGGTCTCCCAGGCCATCTTGTTGATCCCTGGCTCCAGCTGGCTCCATTCATGACATTTCTACCATGTGCATGTCTAACCTATCCTTGAACACCTTCACTGATGGGGCTTCAACCACCTCCCGTGGAAGCTCATTCCATACCCTTGGAGTCCTAACTGTCAGGAAGTACTTCCTGGAATCCAAATTGAACCTTGGATCCGTGAGCTTTGTTCCACTGAAATGCACCCTGCCTTCCTCTGCAAGGAAAAACAGTACTCTACCACTTCCACATGGCATCCCCTCACATACCTATTTTATTTAGGTATGTGAGGGTTTTATTTTCAAAATGTCCAGCACTGGTTTAATAGGGTCCCTATGTGCTCTCTGAAGTATCAACACTGATTTGCCCAATCCATCCTTCTCTCAAAACATTGACATTCAGATTCACTGAAATCCTTCTATGTTATCCAGAATACAATTTCAAATAAATATCTCAACAAAATTGTGCAATTAACACAAACATTTTTCTCCCTTAACATTTCACATGTTTTGTATAGCTGACCTTATGTTGATTGTTACTTTCTTTCTTTGTTCCACAAAACAAGGATCACAAACTTGAAGCACAACATAGGTACATTAATACCCTGTTAAATTATTACTTAGCACATTTGTTGTTCATGTTTAAAATGACTTGAAGAACACTATACAGTTTTCAAGCATTCAAGAAAACATCATACCTGCTAGAATACTGATTCTTTTAAAAGTTTCAGTGCAGAGTATTGTTTTCATAGTCTAATAAGCATTAAGAATAACAGCAGACTTTTGTTGATTTTGGAGTGCTCAGAACTCAGCACTGTTTCCAAAGGTTTCTTGAAAGCATTTATAAGCCGCAATCACTGGGTACATGTCTACCCATGCAGTAGACCTTTGTGGAGAATGTCAAAAGGAAGAAGATATTTATTGTATGCTTTGTTTAACTATGTGCCTCACACTTGTCTCCCATTGGCATATGTGAATTTAATGTAAAATATTTAGATTTCCCATAATAGAGAAATCTTTGTAAATAATTTATTTTGTCCTCTGTAGCTAAATCATTGCTCTTGGACTAACCTCACATTGAATAAACATTTTCAGTCCTAATGATTCTACCATAACATCTTCCATTGTTAAACAGCTGTAATAGCAGTATAGTATCTGAAGGTCATGATAAGCCTGATGAAGGCAAACCAATTGAAGCTCAACCCAGATAAGACAGAGATATTGGTGGTTGTGTGGTCACCTAACTTAGTTGATTTGCCTGTCCTGAATGAGGTTACTCTCATCCTTAAGGAGCAAGCTGGCATCTTGGCATATTCAGTTCAGTGTTCTTTCTTTTGAGTTATACTTGATACTAGAATTGTTGTAGATCTCAGGGCATCTGTTTATGTCATCTTCCATGTTTGGATGATTAGATACTTGTTCATTTAGAGGAATGAACAAGGAATATTAGGTGGTCACTATCAAATCTACAGTGAGAGTTGTGCAGTAATTACCTATACATTTGAAATAAGCAGCCTATGTTCGTACTTAAAAAATATGTGGGGATACAAGGCTTCTCTTTGGATTTTGTGAGAGCCAGGGCATATTTGTCAGCTTGTGCCATCAAAATTAATGAGTTTCCACCTAAGTTCTGTACACTTTATAAAATTAATTGACTGTTGGGCCTAACCAGCTTTCATGTACCATTTGAAATATGCTGCTTTGCACCACTGTGATTGTTACCTGTAGAGTCATTCATGACAAGCAGGACAGAAAGTTGCCCATCCTGCAAGCACTTCTCATGTTTCTCTCATGTTGATTAGAGGATATTTCTCTTTGAAAGAGAGTTCAGTTTACTTTTTTGGAGTAGTGTAGAGCAATGATGGATAGAACTGCATATTGGTAGTGATGGATTCTTAAGCATTAAGGAAAGTTCTTGAATCTTTTGGAGAAGAATAGGGGCAACTTTGTATCAATTTACTAGATTTAGTTTGGTCAGAAAAGCATTATGGACCTTCCACCCATAGCTCCAAATGCTGTGGTTTAAATGTCAATCTATTATTATTATTATTATTATTATTATTATTATTATTATTATTATTATTACATTTCTATAATATCACAACGCAATTTTACATGAACAAGTAAGGTGGAACAGAGTCATAAAATGTCTTTCAGGAAGTACCTGAAATCTGGTACTGAGGTATGGCATATAGTGTGCTTCAGTTGGGGACAGAGAAAGATAAGGTCTTAATAAAAACTGTTCATCAAGAGATGTTGATAAATGAATGGTCTCTGAGTTCAATAGTAGCATACCTCCTGTTCCAAGGTGTTCAACTTCTTGCAATAAGGCTGCAATAAAGCTTGAAAGGCATTTTCAGTTTTGTGGCAGGACAGATCACAATACCTTATCACTTAAAGATCATTTTCCAGATCAAATAGTGAAAACCCTACTTTTTTGGTTTTCAACTTATTACTCTAGCAGATTGACTAATCTAAACAAAGTCATGTGACATTCTAGTCTCATAGCTCCAACTTGGCTGAATCAATCTTACAGAAATCCCTGGCTCATGTATGAGTGATGTGGCTTCCTTTTTATTTCAGATTGTTTGTTCTTTCATATTCTTCATAGATTGCACCTCAGTGTAAGGAGAATATGACACATTTGGGGTTACTGAAAGCAGGTTTGGACCATTGCTCAGTAAAAACATAGCCATCTCGGTCTCTGGGAGCTTCCGGATAAGGTTTCTACAATGCCTTTATCCTGCTTCATTCACAGAACCTTATGGTGGTTCCGGTCATTGTCATCTTCCACCTGTAACCCTCCCTTGTTGTCCAGCTGTTACTAATATCTTTTATCCGTCAACGAGGAAAAAGATGGAATTGCTACATACAGCTTTTGAACAGTTAGCTCTAGGAACTGTTAGCTCTAGGAACCATCATTTTCAGCTCTACTATCATTTTCTTGGCAGTGTCCAGTAAAAACAATGCTTTGATTGATCAAGGTGTTTGCCCCATGTGGATTAGTGGTGGTGCGGGACTACACAAGTCCAGTTCAGAAGGTCTGTTCAAAGCAGAATCATGTATTGCCTGTTATTGCCAGTATGGATGTGTGACTTGTGGAGTATGAAGAGGTTTAGGATCCCATCCTGATCTTTTCTCATGGATCAGGAGATCTTTGTTTGTGGTTGGTTATTTTTAAATTACCATTTACCAAATTTCTTTCTAGATCCAGATATTAGAACTGACTTCAAGTCTGTATAAGGGAGATTGCAGGTCTGAGCACATTTTTGTTGTTGTTGCTGTTAGTTGCGAACTCGCATCCAACTTATTGCGACCCCATGGACAACATTCCTCCAGGCCTTCCTGTCCTCTACCATTCCCCGGAGTCCACTTAAGCTCACATCAACTACTTCAGTGACTCCATCTAACCATCTCATTCTCTGCCGTCCCCCCACTCCTCCTCCTCCTGAGCACATTTACTAAGGAGTAAGACTCCAATCCTATATTAACCTGGAAGTAAATCCCATTGATCTAATTATGACATATTTCTGGGTAAATGTTTATGGTTACTCAGTAACTCTGATGTAAGCCTAAACAAGTTTCCCAGTGCACAGAGGTCATTCTACAAAATCTCTGTATATCAAGTACTTTCTCTACCCCCACATGATTTCCTGTACCGTCTCAACCATCTTTTTCCATCTCACAGGTCTCTCTAACCATGCTTAGGGCTGGCCCGAAAAAGAACTTTGGTGTCTGCAAATGGCACCCAACCCCAGTCAAGGCATACAGTGGTATTCAAAGCCTGTTGAGTTGTTTTGGTCCCTGCAGCAGAAAATCCTACAAACACCTCTTCTCTTCCTTGCAGTGAAAATTCAGTCATCATTAATACATTAAATAATAAATAAATTGCTGCTTTTTCATGATGTCCCAAATCAGCCATCTGAGACAGCCTCTTCAGGCTCTAACATCCATGTGTGTCCTCATCTTTAAAGGACCCTGTCTTCCAAGAACAACTCTATTTGTAATAAGAAATAATTGACAGCGAAAAGGAGAGAGTTTGCTTTAAGATAAAAACCCCAGGCAAAAAGATTTAAGGAGCACTGCAGGAGGGGAAGCAGATGTGCACAAAAAGCCGGATAATCCAGGGGGATCAGATGCAACAGTGATCATCAGAGGCTCATACCTTTACTTCAGCAAATGCCATTGTTTCCCAGTTACTTGAAAAGCAATATCTTTCAAGTTAACTTTCTGTATAGAAGGCTTCTGTACATGAAAAGCTTATTATGCCACAATAAATCTGTGATTCTTTATTGTGGAACAGGCATTGTGAGCTTCCAAAAGAGGACCAAGATAGTTCTGCAAAATGGCCTTGTCTCCAAATGAAAGATCCAGGACTCCAGCCCCAGTGGAGTCCTAATACTGCCTCTGTATGCAAAGTTCAGGAAGAAGAACTTTTCTTCTTTAAACATGCTTTTTCCTCTTTAAACATGCCACACTGATCTCCATAATAGTGAAGGTATAACTCAAATTGCTTCTGCTTGGCCAATAATTAGATTCAGTGGAGCATAGCATCTGATCTACTGTAGCTCCCTCCCTTTGAGTGGCAAGCTACAAGGACTACATGGCAGCCTACCTACTGTTTTCCTCTTGGAAACACTAGTAATATTTTTGACCACCTTCCAGAGAATATATGAAGCCCAGTGATGACTTTTCAGGCTGAACTATGCAGACATGTTGGCCAACAAATTAGTTGACCACATGGCTATGATTCTAAAGCTATGGGAGCTACCATATCACTACAATGTCATGCTTGGTTTTAACAGGAGGGCTTAACCAGGAGGCTAGATTCAGGGTGGAGTAGCTGACATTTGATGCATTCATGGGCAAAACCTTGGAGTTTGTTCACAAAATAAAACATCATTCCAAAAGATCAGAATGTGATCCTAAACTTCATTAGGCTTTACCTTCATCAGCTCTCTCAGGGATGCTTTCCTTCTTCACTGGACAGGTAATTTCTTCAATTTTTTTCCTTATTCCCTCTTCAATATGGGTCCTGGCAAAAGGTTAGGGCCTGATAAACTGCATCTTAACTGTCCTGTGGTAGCTACAGAAGGCTTAGTTCATACCCAACCTCTTTCAGTCCCAAGGAGAGTATTCCAGATTGCCTTCAGTCCCAAGCCTGCTTATTCTGGACCAAGATTGCATTCAATACCCAGACCTTAAGAGGTCACGGCTAGTTGTGTGGCACCTTCATTAAGTGCTGAATCATTCTTTTTATTAATGCTGCTCCAGTCAATCTCATATGCTGCCAGACCACCATCATCCAGACTTTACTACAGTAGAAGATTAAGTTTTACTTTAATAAACTACTACTATTTTTTTTTTTACTTCTGATAAGCAAATTAGCAAAAACTGGACTAGATGGAAAAACTATTAGGTGGATGCAAAATTGGCTGCTAAACTGGACGCAAAGAGTGCTCATCAATGGCATCTTCTCAAATTGGATGGAGGTAACCCGTGGGGTGCCACAGGGTTCAATCCTGGGCCCTGTGCTCTTCAACAACTTTATTAATGATTTAGATGAGGAAGTACGAGGAAAGATAATCACATTTGCAGATGATACAAAACTGGGTGGAATAACAAACACCGTAGAAGACAGAATGAAGATCCAGGGTGATCTTGATAAACTTGAATGCTAGGCAAGAGAATGAGATTCAATAAGGACAAGTGCCAAATCCGCCATGTAAAAAAAGAAAACAAATGCATCAGTACAAGATGGGGAATATGTGTCTTAACAGAACTGAAAAAGAAAAAGATCTCGGAGTTATAAACAATAAACTAAACGTGAGCCAACAATGCAATGCAGCCACCAGATTTTGGAATGCATTAACAGTAGTATTACTTCCAAATCACAAGAACTAGTAGTTCCTCTATACTCCTCACTAGTCAAACCTCTTCTGGAATACTGTGTCTAGTTCTGGGCACCAAGATTTAAGAAAGATGCAGAAAAATGAGAAAGGGTCCAGCAGAGGGCGACAAAAATGATCCAGGGTTTGGAAATGCGGCCCTGTGAAGAGAGACTGAGAGAACTGGACATGTTCAGCCTTGAGAAGAGAAAACTGAGGGGGGACATGATATTCCTCTATAAGTACCTCAAAGGCTGTCACGAAGAGGAAGGTTAAGATCTTGCTGATGCCAGAATGTAGGACACAGGATCATCAGTTCAACTTGCAACAACCCAGATTCAGGCTGGACATCAGGAAAAACTTCCTCACTGTCAGAGCAATACAACAGTGGAACCTGCTGCCTAGAGAGGTGGTGGGCTCTCTCACACTACAGACATTCTGAAAGAAGCTGGACAGCCATCTGAGTGGGATGGTATAACATGGTGTCCTGTAACAGCAGGGGGTTGAACCCAACGGCCTTCATCGCCCCTTCCAACTGTACTATTCTATGATTCTGTGATTCTACTAAATTTGCCTTTACTGCAGGGATACAGTCACTTACTTCCCCCATCAGTTTTTTTTCCCAATTTCTTCCATCCTTGTTTGTTAAGGATTAGGATTTTTTGTCTCTTTGTGTTCACTTGGCTACAGTCTCTGCTTCACACATTCATCTCCAGAAACTTATATTTTTTCACATCCTCTGGCTTGACAATTTCTTTGGGGAATCCACAATCTAGCATCTCCAGTTCAGCAGTCTTGCCATCCTGGAGCCTTTGAGTAGCTTTGATGGTTCTGATTGCAAAGCCATTCAAGCCATTGGCCACCAAGGTGGTGGTTAAGGCTCCTCCTCTAACTCTGCTCAGATCTAGAATGTTCTGAAAGACTATTGTGTTTTGAAGTATAGCCATTCAAAGAGCTATAATTACAGATGATTAACCCATTCTTTCCTGTGCTGGACCTTCTACTCCCAGTTAAGTTGTGCAGTGCCCCATTTGTATGAATAAAACAGAATGTAACATACTTTAAACCAGTTGTATACTTCTACAGTGTTTGGAAGCAATTCACCCTACCCATTTATTGAAGAAATTTGGACCAAAAGTATTAGTCAGAGGCAAGAGAGAAAGCAGCTTATGTGGTCATGCTTCAGAGTTTTAGAAAGTTACATGGTCTAGCATTCACAGACATTTCTGACTTGTTTAACCTCATGAAGTGCAGCTCCAAGAACAGTGGGTAAGTGTTTTTAATTGATTGATGTTAGCTCATGTTAGTTTTTTTGTTTCTGTAATGTATAAGTCATGGTGTCTCTTCTGGTGTGAAAGGCAGGGATAAATCTAATGAATGGTGTCACAGTTGGTAATATTGCACTGGTGCAGATATTGGGTACATGCTATTCTAAAAATGTACTAAGAGTGGGTCTTGAGGTCAGAGTAATATCTGTGGACTAATATTATTATTACAGACAGCACAATTGTTCAGAAAATAAGCATTTCCAGTATTAGAAAAATGTTTTAGTACTATAAAACCAAATAATAATAAGCTTAATTAAGATTTTCTATTGCTATTTTATTGCAGGTAATCATTGCTCTGCCAGAAAAAAACCGGTCTCATATTCCCTACAGGAATTCTATGATGACCTCGGTGCTAAGAGATAGTCTTGGAGGGAACTGCATGACTACGATGATTGCAACACTCTCATTAGAAAAACGAAACATAGATGTATGTCCTCCATTTCTTGCTCTAATTTGCCTTCCATGGATTAATGTTTTAATTTGTCTACTTATAAATTCTGGGTTGTGAAGTGATATTGCATTATGCTCCAACTTAGTTTTCTTGAATAAGGAACATGAGGAATTTAATGGGCCATATTGAATGTTGCTTGCATTCCATCAAGGCCCTGTGCCAGCATAAGAGGAAGCTAGCAATTCCAAAACTTATTGGAAATGTGCTGAAACACTCAGTTCCAGAATGGGGTAGATCAGTGAAGCTCTCAGAAGGTAGCTTTAGAAAGCATTAGCTCCCTGTTACAGTGGTGGTCAATTCTGTGGATGTAAAAGGATCCGCAGAGGGTAATGAATATTTACCAATGTTTGCATCCTTAAACATTATTAATATTGTTATTGCATTACAGAAACTCTTTTGGTAATAGCAATAAGGTTATGTCTAGCCTAAAGCTGGAAGATGTTACAAACATTTGTAATTCCATAGTAGCCTTGTAAATGTGAGGACATTGTATTCATTCAAAAAATAATGGCTCTTATGCAGATGGTGCAAAGTCTTTCTGAACTAGACAGATTTAAAAAACAAAAACAACCCCCCCCACAGTCAAGTTCTGATAAATCTCTGTTAAAAGGGAAAATTTGTGGAGTGGGTTCTTCATAGTAGACTATATTAAAATTGAACTGTATGTTTTAAAAGAAAGAAATTAGCTAAATATATATTTTCAGGGATCTAAATTACTTAGTTTTCATATGCTTATTCCCAAGTAACTAGACATAGAATTACAGCTGTAACTTAGTTTTCATATGCTTATTCCCAAGTAACTAGACATAGAATTACAGCTGTAATTTGGGAGTATGTACCTCAAAATACATTAAATAGTCTTTTTCATCATTGGCTTTTCTGATTATCATACTGAGCATATGGGTATTTCAATATACTGTCATGTCCTTTCCAACCCTTCCCATGTACTATTCTGTATGCAGCCCTCTCATACACTAAGATGTGCTTTCAACAGGGTTTCATACAGCTAATGAGATACAAGGGTGGAGGAGGCCCAACACTATTTATTATTATTTAATAATTGGCATCCTAAATATTTGTGTTGGATTGTGTGCAGCTATGTCATCCAAAAAATTTCATGCCAGCACAGTATGTAGGATTCATCCATAAAAATTACTTCTTTCTGGAGAACCTCCATATACTAGTAGGCCAGATGTAAATGTCATTCTTGAAGAAGCAATAAGTATGCTATTTTTTTACTGTTCTGCATTTTCTTCCCAGCTAGTACAGCAAGGTGCTCTGAAGTCAGAGGACTTTAAATCAGTCCCTTTGTCATGGTCAGAGCACCTCCTGCTGAGTTTGAACTTACAATACCTTTCCCTTCTGCAAGGGTGGAACACCCAGTAAGATGGTCTGCCCCCTAAAGATTGGTTCAACTGTGAAATACGGGAACAGTTTGGGGAGCTGACACAATTACTTCTGAGTACTCGCCTCAAAGGAGAGCTCACATAACACATTTCTGGATCAGAACATTATAAGGAAAAGAAGGAAGTCAGTATGGGGCTGCTGGTTTTAGGGGCAAACCGTATTTGGCATATCATTTTCTTCCATCATCAGTAGCCTAAGTGGAGAACTGAAAGAGAAGAAGTGGAAGTATTTATTTTTTCTGTTAATGTACAATTCAGTTTGCATGAATGTTGATGCACTATATGAAGACTGCTGTTAATAGTAACATACCTACCTGTTATTTTCTCCTTTTAGGAATCGATATCAACCTGTAGATTTGCTCAGCGTGTTGGCCTTATTAAGAATGAAGCAATTCTAAATGAAGAAATTGACCCCCGATTGGTAAGGCTTTTTAATTATTGTTTTTAATTAAAATTATTGCTATTTCTATACTGAAAATTTCTGAATTAAAATACATCATGGATCTGAGGCTGATGTATCTCAACCTTGTCTGGATTCAGCTTCAGTTTGTTAGCCCTTACCATTGTCACAGCCAGACACTGGTTTAACAGCCTCACCTACTGAAGACGAAAAGGAGAAATAGAGTGGGTCATTAGCATACTGATGACAATGTGTTGCAAAATACTGGATGACCCCACTGAGTGCTTTTATGTAGATGTTAAATAGCATGATGAACAAGATTGTCCTGGAGGAGTCCACTACTGGAGAATCCAAGGGGCTAAGCGTTATCTCCCAAGCATCACCTACTGGAGATGATACTTGAAGTAGGAGCAGAACCACTGCAGTGCAGTAACTACTGCTCTGCACTCAGCCAGCTGTCTTTGAGGGATACCATGGTCAATGATATAGAAAGCCACTGGAGGATCCAGGATTACTAACAGGTTCATACTTCCCCATCTCTGTTCTAGTGTGGGTCATCATTCCAGGTGACCAAAACTGTTTCCATACAAAACCTGTCCTGAACACTGACTGAAATGAATTGGGATAAGCAATCTAATGTAAGAACTGGTTTCTGCACACCAATCCTCTAATTTAGCGACCCTCCTCTGCTGACAATGCAACATGGGGTCAGGTGCTCAGGCCCCCTCTTCTGCTCTACATGACTCTGGTATGCCCACAACTGGAGTACTGCATTCAGGTCTGGGCTCCACATTATAGGAAAGACATAACTAGGTTAGAATAGGTTCAGTGCAGGGTCACAAGAATGGTAGCCAGGTTGAGAGGAATGATATATGATGAAAGATTGAGGGAATTGGGTCTTTTCAGCCTGGAGAAGAGGAAACTCCAAGGGGATCTTTTAGCAACTTATAGATATGTGAGGAGATGGCATATGAAGGAGGTCTGTGACCTGTTCTTCCCTGCAGTGGAGGGCAGGACATGTTCCAGTGGGGCAACTTTCAAGGAACCAGGTTTCAGGTTGGCAAATTAAGAGCTTTTGCCAAAGAATGGTCTGTTGCTTTTAATGTAGGAAGGGAGAAACCTAGTTCCTGGCAACTATCTCCATGTACAGTTGAAAAAAACAAATCTATAGTGTGTTCTGCTACATGCATTTGAGTGGGATGGTATAAATTGGTTTCCTGCAACAGCAGGGGGTTGGACCCGATGACCTTCTTGGCTCCTTCCATCTCTACTGTTCTATGATTCTATGCATTGAATCAATAACATGTTGGGATGGTCCCATGGTTGTCATGTAAAAAGAGAAATGGTAATGCTGAAAAAAAAAGTAATCTTCCATTTTTCTTCCACATAAGTTTATATACTCTTAATCCTACTTTCTACCATTTTACTTTTATTGCAGGGTGGGGAAAGGAAGAACTTTGAATTTGAATTTGTTTTTCTCTAGTATATGCTTACTTAAACAAGCTTTACTTCTTGAAAACTCCAAGAAGAGTTGGGAAAAGAACAGGCATTTCATTTATATTTTATAGCTGACTCTCTTGCTATAGCCAAAGCTCCACTTTCCAACTAACTTCCAAGTATCTAGTTAGCTGCATTTTGTCACTATCCAGCTGAGATGTTGGATAGTGATGAGATTCATAAATATTCAGGAGGATGTTATAGGGTTAAGAAACTTGTATTTGCTTGCTTAACAATATTAGTCTTTCTCTCAGCAAAATCCCCAATAACAACAGAGCTGATCTTTTCCTAGCACAGCTGCTGTGTAATCTCCAAACTGGTAATATGAGAGCAAAACTGGATGTGACATTGGAATATCAGGCTCATGCAATCAAACCAAAAGACATCTACCAGGTTCCTAACTAGGACTGGCTAACTGGGACACATATTATCAATTCTAAAATAACTTTACTAGGTGCTGGACCATTCTCATGATGTTTAAAGCTATTTACCTCTAAAGCCCCAAATGGCTGAATGCTTTTCTCTGGGCCCTTGGACACATTCCTCTGAGTTAACACAAAGAAGGCCTTTTTGCAGGGTGGCCTTCCTTTGCAATACCCTCTACAGGTTAAACTTGCCTGACTGCTGCTGCCATTTTTTTTTTCCAGTGCCAGGCAAAAAACCTTTTTAATTTTTTTCCAGGCTTTTAAATCTCCAAATGAATATGTATTTATTCTGCTTCTGTTTTCTTCTGCTTGTATTGTTTTCTGTTTTGTTGACTTGATTTGTTAAATATTCCTCACAGCTGCCCAAGCTAAGACAGTAAGAAAAGTTCAGAGCAAAAAAAATAAAATCTTGAATTTCCCCTAGATTGGATGGTTATACAGCGTCAGTATTAGATACTAAGGACTTCACATATGCAATGTTGACATGAATGTAGTGGCAGTAGTGGCTTCCCTGGTAGCACAGACACTGAGCTGATAAGAAGCTATGGTCAGCTTTTGGAACAAACTCTGTTACTTGTTGCTCAGGACACATTTTCCTGCTTTGACCTGAGAAATCATGTGCTATTCCAATATTTCCTGCACTTGCTGGATACGATACCATATAATCATTCGTTGTGCATTAAAAATAATAGCCCAATCCTCTGGTATGATTAATAAACTTTTCATGACATTTCATTTTACATGATGTACAGCACTGTGTGTTAGACCATGCACAAATAGAAGCATTTCAATCAGATGTGGATACACATATTTGTGCAATACATTTGTGCCAATGTCTGAAGGTAGTTGTTATGTATTAGCCTACAAATGCTGTAAATTATGAAAAAGTGCACAGTTGCTCAATGAGTCATTTGCTGTATTCAGACATAATGATAAACCAAAAATGTTTATTGTTCATCAGCAGCATTCTGGTGCATGCTACCTCAACATCCTTGGGTGACTCCTTTCTAAGCAACTGAATTGAACCAAAACTAACAAGGGAGTGCATCCTTCCTTGAGGAAGCTAGAAACAGATCTTAGTTAAGAGTGGTAAGATTTTATTGCTTTGCATATAAAATCACAGAGGTGGGTGTGCCCCAGAATTATATAGAACTTCCTTGTAGTGAAGAGAATTCACGTAACCTACTGTGTTCTAGAAACAGATATTAGACATACAATAAATAAACTCAGGGAAAATATTGTATTATTGCACTGAGACCACTAGTCCCATAACTGTTTGGGAGCAGATCAGTACACTGCCTCGTAGGTTGAGTACCTTCCCTGGTCTAGGTCAGCATCATTTAGTTATTATGCTATTAGCAAAGTTTATTTGGGACACAGAAAATACTGGACTAAGTCAGAATGTTCAAAAGGCCCCAGTTTGGCCTGGACCCCACTCATATACCCTGTTCTCTAGGCAGTAAACATCAATTGCCTCTTCTAGGCTGCTCCTAGTCAGCTAAGGTATATATACACATATACATAAACATATTATTCCAATATAATGCTCGTTTTATCTACCAATCCTCATTTTAAAGCTTTAATTCTTTGTAAAGTACATATTATAAAAATAGAAGTTGCTTTGTGAGGCTTTGGCTTTGACCACTGAGTCTTAATTTTTCTGAGTTATAGTGATTATTAACTTTAGAATATGCATCCTAAATCAATTCAATTGTTTTTTTTTTTTTTACTCATGACTGACTGAACGATACTGTGCTTGTCTGCTCAGAAGGGACTTCCACAGGACATATTCTCAGTTATGATTGTATAAGATTGCACCCTGAAATGGTTGATTTTGTATTTCTTTTACCACTTTGGTAAGCAGGTTTAGAAATCAGTTGATTTCTGATTATGGTGATCCCCTGGGAACTTGGTTGAAAGGGAAGGGTAAAAAGGTTTGTCATAAATGAAAGTATTTAAGTAGCACAGTAATCTAACACAGTTAATCTGCTAATATTAAGGACCTTTGTTATTTTCAATTATATTGAAATGTTGTGGTATAATTCTGTGCAAGTTGACTCAGAAATAATCCCTGTTATTTACCCTGTAGCTTAAATGCAGGTACGTATTCACATACATCTCCTTCTTTTTCCTAATGTATCTAAATGTTATGTTTTCATGGAATAGATTTTGTAATATGTTGTGAACACTTTTGGGATTTTTAAAATGGGAAGCAGACTATAAATAATACTAAAACAAACAACATATTTGATTCACAAAAGAGGGAAAATGTACAAACATTAGGAGCTCAGCAAGACCGAAAAAGAATCATATCCATGCTGTCTGTCAGTGAACCATTGATACTGTCCCTACACTAGTGAAATAGATCACTAGTGCAAGAACAAATAACAGTTTCTGACATAACTGGACACAAGCAACAGAAGTCATTTCTAGAATTGGTCAGGTCAGCTGAGCTCACAGAAGGGAGCTTTATTGACCTACCTCCTTCTGCAAATGAATGATTTGGCAAATTTCCACATTTATTTCAAGAAATGCCAGTTCCTCCTATGCTAGCAGTCTGTTCTGCTAGCACAACAGGACTCATGGGGGTGTGGCATCAGTAGGGGATACTACCTAGCAAGTGACACTTACATTATTTTTGCAGATGATTGTACAACTGAAGAAGGAAATTCAGGAGCTAAAAAATGAATTGGCCATGGTGACTGGAGAACAAAGATCAGAAGAACTCACACAGGAAGAACTGCTACAGTAATGTTTTCCATTCAGTCCGAGCACACTGATTTTAAGTGCTAGCACATCCCACAGATTTCTGTAGAACATATTTCCAGTTTCCAAGTAATATATTTCAGATGCGGATTCAAAAATTATACTCCCTTAAAACAACATCAAGCTGCAGTAGGTCCCAGGTTAGAGCAGTTGCTTGTCATGCAAAGCTGAACTAGACCATGTGTAATATTTTTCCATTTTCATTCCATGACCTTCAAGCAAGAAATGTTGAGTGCTAATACATAGTGATTATGGAGAATCTGCAGATGTAACTCACCTGACGGTCTTATTGGCACCAGAGGCATAAGATGTTGGCAGTGCATCTAAAATTTTTGATAGTCACATGTCTGCAGTGTGGTTGGAAGGGGAGGAAGGTAAACTGGGCGAATGTCACTAAGAATTGGGTGGATAGAGGTAAGAAAGTAGTGGAAAGAAAACAGAGAGGAGTTGGTCAGTAATGGTCTGGGGAGGAAGATGTGAGGCCTTTGAGGATTTTCTTGTGTGCCGTTCATCTTTAGCCCTTGGTCTGTGAGGAAGAGGAGATGGGGATATCTCTTTATTTGTTACTCTAAAGCCTTCTGATCCTTCTAGAGCAAGATTCCTATTGCTAGAAAAGATTATGTTTGATGACAGTCTAAAAATCCAGAAGCATTCAGGAAATGTTCTTAGTACTGAGAAGTTCTGCAGTGCTAATTTCTTTTGTGCCAATATAAGCTTGAATTCACCATTTATACCATGCCCAGAAGTTTAGTATTATGGGTTAGTTGGTACTATTTGAAAAACATGGATTTGTAGGGTTAGGAATGCAATCTGTAATAGCTGACATAGTTTTACTTATGTGAACAGCCGACATAAAGTTCACATGTGAGAGTCTTATGGAATGGATAGTAGAAGTAATAATTATCCAATTATAATTAGAATATCACTGGTTTGTTCAGAGTTTGTAGAGCTGGCTAGATTATTTGTGATGGATCCCACTACTACTTAAACCAAGGAGACCATCAGACACTTGGTACGGAAGGAGGGAGTCATGGTATCTCTGTTTCTTCGTTGTGGTCTTTGTGCATCACACATATGGGTGCTGCGCCTGCAAGGCATGGATGTCATGGTATCTCTGATTCCAGATGCAGCTATAAAGATGTTAACAGCCAACACTGACCTAGCTTGCATGAATGAAACACTGTTTCGATCAGTGGAATATACCAGATGCTATTAGACTAATTACTTGCCTGGGTATAGCTTGTCACGTTGCTCAAGCCTGGACAGCGTGGCTTAATTGAGAGGGAAATAACCCTTAAGCCAACAACAGAACATGACGTGTGTCCCTGATTCAGACAAGTCACTGCAAATGTGTTCTGTGTGTGTGTGTTCTGACAAGAGCTAGGATTCTCCTTCACCCATTCAAAACAGCAGATGCTTCTTTGCCAAAAACTCTTTATGCTCCAGTGTACCTCCAGCAAAGCATAATCAGCAGAGAAAGTGTCTCTGTGCATGCATAGAGCAGTTTGTTGAACCCCTGCTAGCAACTATCTCTGAGAACACTCCTCTTCAGGACCACTGGGCCCAACACCTCTGGATGGGCACCTCTGGAGAAGGGCCAGCCATTTGACTATAGACCCCCGCCCCAGCTGGCTAGCCCTTCTTTCAGTTCTCAGGGTCCTTCTGAACAACGTTCCCTTTCAGCTGAGTGGTCTTGAGATAAACCCTCTTCCATCTCAAAATCTGGAGGCCCCGTTTCCAAGGGCTCCTCCTCTGAAGAGTCCAAGTCTCCCTAGTCTTGAAACACACACCAAAAATAACTACCTCTTTCATCCCTAAAGTGTTCATTTGCTGTACCACGATTAAAGAAAGGATAGGGCTATTGACACCACACTGATGTAACAGATTGAAATAGCCACTGCAGTCAAAAGGGTGACACACAAGAGCCTTCTTTGTGGGCTCTGCATCATATATATGGGCTGTGTGTCTGCACAGAGCCTTGATTTGGGAAACTTTCATAGCTGAGAAACTTTTGGTGGGAATCCCTCCCTCTTTCTGCTGATAGAGGGTTCCCTCCTTTTCCTCTCAGTTCCTTTTCAACCACCATTGTGGTTGCCTTATTGGAAACATTGCCTTTCTTGTATAAGAAACCGTGCTTCAGAGTTGAAAAATTCTTTCCTTCCTTAATTGTCCCTTATTGCTTCAATTTTTCCTGAACATCTTTTTGAATTTTAGCAGTTTTTGATTATTCTCTTGCCTCTGAGGTATATGGCCTCAAACGCACCTTTTCAAAAGTGTGTTCACTGTGGCAGCAAGCTTCCACCTACAAATGGGCGTTCCCTTTGCTTGCTCTGTTTTGGAGAGGGCCATCTTGTAGATTCTTGCCAAACAAGCTGGCCACAGAGGTACTGAGAGGAATAGGTAGAAACTCAATGTCAGTAGACAGGGAACAGGAGCTGTTGTAAAAAGTTTCTCAGCTGTTGAAGTTTCCCAGACTGAAGCTTTGCATAGGCACAGAGCCATATGAATGCACAGATGACCACTTAGAGAGCGACCGTTAGAGGTAAGCAACCTGCCTTTATCCTGCTTGATTGCTAGAAATAGCAAAATTCCTGGAAGACATATATTCAATTTTTTAAAAATCACTAGGAAAGAATATTTGATAAATTTCCTGGACAACTTCTTTCATTGACCAACATTTAAGGAACATACTTCTTACCTTTTTTCAAGTCTTTTGGATATTTGTATATTTGATATAGCTTTGCTCATGTGTTTTCACAACCCACACCTAAAGCAGTTCTATGTTTAGGTGTGTTTATAAGGTGAATTCAAAATTCCCATTGGTTAGAATGCTTATTTTAATTACAAATACTTCTGCAGCTCCCCCTCTTATATATGAAGGAACATTTATTATTATAAATTAAGTGAGAGAAGCTTCTAGGCAGGCTACCCCAATCAGGTGCCATCCATATATTTTGGATTTCAACTGACATTCCACCCACCATAGGCAGTGATCAAATATGCTGGAAATTGTGGCCAAAACATCTGGAGAGCACCAGGTTAGGGGAGACTGCTCAAAAGCAGTGTAAACCTTGCTATGAAAGGCTTTAATTTCCCATCAGACTAGAACTTCATGTTCTAGTCTCTTATTCCTTGTTGCTCATCACATTTAAATTATTCTGATTTTTTTTATCCCATTTAATAGGTGGTGATCTAAAATGAGCATATTATGCTAGTTAAAACCTAACCAGTGGTAAATTAGGTAGCAGAACTATTTCCTGCATATTACATACAATGGTGTTATTCAAGCAAACTCAAATGCTATTTGCCTAAATTGCAAATATATAACATTTTTACTGATGCACTTAGACTGAGAAGTCAAATTAAATTTAAGCCTAAATATGCTCAGAACATGGTCCTAAAGATTGGGATCTTGTTAGGAACTTAATTTTGTAAACTGACAAAAAGTCAAGAAGCCAAGCTGAGTTTCTTGTAAGGAATTTAGTGCTGAATCAGGAAGTATGAACTGATGTGGAAAACCATGCAAGAATTAGGCAGGAATTGAAGTCAAGTAGTCACTGTGGGAGGCAGCCAATAGAAATATGAATAATTCTAGCAGATAAGTGGAGCTGAATCAGAAGCAATCTTCTGGATCCAAGAACCATTTAAAAGTCACACAATTGTAATTTTGTTTATTCAAAGTGTCTACTTGCAAGTGACAGCAAAATAATGGCTTAGTAATGCATGATGGGTTTTAAGGATTAAAAAAAGTGTTAAATAGCTTCAGACAAAGTGTGCAAGTAGGATGTAGAAGCAATAGCCCACTCTTCATTCCCTCAGTATAGGTCAGAAACCTTAACTACGAGGGGTCTTCAAAAAGTTCTCTCACTTTTTCAAACTCTCTTTATTAAGAATTTCAAAAACAAATTACATCACTTTTGTACATTGTCATCTTCCTTTGTGATGCATTTTTCCCGGCGTTGTACCAACTTTTTAATGCCATCAACAGCATCATATAAAATATATTTATAAAATATAAAACTGCGGAAACTTTTTGAAGACGCCTCGTATAATCAACTGTAGAGTGTAATGCCCTTTGCCAAGTCACATTTAGAAATATTCTCTATTTTAACATGTCAGCTCACAGCATTTAGTTATTTTGGAATAAAATGCAGGGTATTTTCAGTCTGTTTGGGTCAAACTTCATAACATTTATCCAAAAGAAATCTTCCTGTAGTTAATTGGCACAAGTTGTTTAATATATAAATTAATGTGAAAGACACAAATATAGCAGACAAGTAGACTTTAGTGTATGTTGTCCAATAGCATTGCAGGAACAAAATTTCAGCTTTACATATTTTATTTTTATGAGCAATGAACAATTCTGGAAACATTAGAAGGAAATTAAACCCTAATGGATATTCTTGTGTAATCATGTTGTTTAGAAGAATGTATACTTCAAACCCATGTGGACAAAAAGCAGTGGATGGCAAATCATACAATTCTCTCATCTGATTCATAAAACCAGATTCATTACCTAGATCACCACTCAACTAATCTTCATTTATATTATTTTTATTAAATTTGCCATCAAATTAAACAAAGGATTCAAATTACTTTTAGAGAATGGATTTTGTACAAAGTATAAATAAGCAAACTCCAAAAACTTTTAGCTTCAGTTTTTGATTTGATTATGTTATGTGTGGCCCATGTCTACCCATGTTTAAGCAGAACTAAGTCCCACTGAAGTGAGTTTTACTTCCATGTAAATCTGTTTAGGATTGCGGTTTTGTACCCCAATCCTGTGCTGAATCATTGGAAAATACTTGCTGTTGTGCAGTGCGACTTACTTTGAAGCAACCTTTTTTGGATTGCAGCCTTGAGTATGTTTTGTGTAGTTTATGTAATTCCAACATTTGCTGCTATTTGTTTCTCTTTTTTTTAAGTTTTCACTTGAAATAGAATTTAGTGATAGCCTAAGTACTTCATAAAATAATTTTCCT